TTAAAAAATTAAAAAGAATAAATTTGTTAATAAAATTAAAAAATTTCGATTTGCTACTAGTTTTGTACAAAAAATAACCTTAAGTAGCTTTTTCAATTTGTTAGTGGTTTGGACCTTAGCCGTTATCCGTTTATCCCAAACCGCTAAATAAAAAGTTTTACCAAACATCTAAATTGTAACGATTTCAAAATAAATAAGTTTATCAAACACATATTCTTAACAGTTTGGCAAAACTGCTAATTGTTACCTTGAAACTGCTATACCAAACTAGCTCTAAAACTGCAATCTATCTCTTCAACCTTAGTGACTTTTGCTTAAAGCAAAGTGATAATTTAGGGGAGAAAAAAAAGAAAAACACGAACTGGATAACAAATGTTGACAAGTTCTCAAAAATCTGTATCACTTACAAAAAATGTTGTAATTGCAATAAACCTTCGAGCCTCTTTCAATCCGGGTCTACTCTTCAAATTAACTTGTAAAGCCCCGAGGTTGGTCCTCGGGGGTAGACACTCATATGTTTAAGTTAATAATAATCAAGTCTACTTAGAAGAAAGCAAAGTGAAGCTCTAGGTCGATTTCAATTACCTTTTGTAAAGGACCCTTGGGGGGTGCTTATAAGCCTTAATAGGGTGTTCATGTGTTCTTCATTGTGAAATAATCAAGATCTAATGTGACAATCAAATCAAATATCTCAGAAACACAAATTAAATAAGCATGGACTTATTGTAGCTATTGTGTAACTGGGAAGACCTTGACTTAGGCCGTACCTTAATCATTGAGTAACTTAAGCTTGTGCAAGTTCGAGAGTAACTAGCAATTTTGCTAATAGTTTTGTAATATGTCGAAGATCGTTGATCTCAAACACACACTTACACTACTCCCCACCAAGTCATTCACTTGTGAATGATGGGGTAAAGATAAGGGTGTGAAGTTGTCCAAAGTAAGAGTTTGATTGAAGTCCTTTGTATTTTGCCAAAACTGAAGTGAAAATTCATGACATGTGGTCATGTTTTTTGTGCCCATAACCAAAGTAAAAATTCATGACGGTTGTCATGAGTGAATATGTATTTAAAATGCAACTATAATGCTTGGGCCTAGCTTAAATGAGCTTCTTTAATTTGCCAAAAAGTAGCTAAATTTGGCAGTTGATAGCCGCCTTTGGGGAATGTGTTGCAACAAATTATCCCAGTTGGAAGTAACCGTCATATTTGAAAGGATATGATGTTAGTCATTAGATGAAAGTGATCATAGTCGTTGAAGGCATTGGGGCTTGGGTATAAATAGATATACTTAGGGTGATTTGAGTTACCATGTCTTATTGTTGCTAAAGTGTTGTAGAAATTTTACTAGAGCTACAAAAGTGTCTGAGCTTCCTTGTGTTCGAGCTAAGCACCTCACTATAAAAAGTTCTATGTAAAGTGTTGGAGTTCAGCATCACTGAGATTAGGTAACTTTATGAGCTCTACTTTGGGTTTAAGTGAGGAGTTTGATGTACCTTTAACTCTCTTAGACTTAGACTTAAGTCCACTTAGGGAGTTTAGGGTTAGGTTAGAGAGTGAGATAGAGCATGAGATGGAGTTTGTGTAGGATCCTAACTATTCTCCCCCACCAATTCCTTGTAGTGAGAGTTACGAAATTAAAGAAATGTCTCTTAAAGAAACATTGAGTATTGGAGGGGTAAAGAAGTTCAACCTATAAGCTAGGGTGGTGATGAGAATGTTGAGGTAGAGTCCACTAGAGATGGATGAAGTGAGCAAGAGGAGGAGGAGGTGAGGATTCCCTCAACAATCTTGGATTCTAACGATGGCCAAGCCAAATGTTTTGATGAGTCAGATGAGATTGTGTCTGAGGTGATGGGATATAAGGCCTCTTATAAGAGCAAAAACAATTGGTACATTTGGTGGACAACTATGGGATCTCATCTCATATGCTGATGAGACCTACTGGTGATCATGACAGGGCTTGCTTAGCCTTAAGGGATCATTAAATGCCTTTGTACGCTCGTTACTTGGCTGTTGGGCATAGATTTCTTATTCTTAAGTTGTTGATCAATTTGCTAATGGACTACAAGTCTACAACGTAGGCCTTACATAGCTTGTCCCTAACGCAGTTTGGCTTGTTGTAGCCTTCTTGGTTTATTGTAGCCTTCTTGGTTTATTATCGAGCTCAAGGTGTTGAACTCTCAACTGTGAACGTGTTTAAGTATTTTTTCATGATTAAGGCCAGGAGCAATAAGGAGAAACGATGGTGTTATTTTAGACCTCGTGTGTCTAATAAAGAAAGTAGGAATTTGTTAAGTTTAATCCGGTGTACCGGTCGAAAATCTTAACAGATAATAGTATTTTTTTTGGCTTAAATTTCATAAAGAGTGTCGTTTAGATTTTGAAAATATTAAAATATTTTAATAAATTTATAAATTAAATTATACTTTTTAACCTGCAGTTCTGACGAATAAGATACTTTATATATATACTCGTAGTTTGGCCAATGCTGGAATAGTCGCTTGGAGATGGCCTTATCATCTTATCCCGAGCATTTCAAGCCACTCACACTGAAACTGAAAGGACCCCCCCTCTTGTCACCCTCTTCCCCCTCCATAATAACGTTCTACTTTTAACTCATCTAACCGCTACCTTTCGATTTAGTTCAACTCACAATGTCTTCAATCTGCCTCTGCTTCCGTCTCCAGCTCCCTCTCCGCTGGCGCCAAAGCCCAGGCCTCTTGATTCTTGTCCATCCAAGGAGTAGAAAGGTCAACTTCATTCCTCTCCGGTTTTCTTCTTCCTCCAATGAAGATTCAGTTTCATTGCCCAAACAAAGCCAGGTATTCTCTTTTACCTCTGCCC